ATACAGCGGGCGCGAACGCGACGCGCGCGTATCCTCACCATTGCAGATCCCGCGCCTTACGCGCTCTGCGGCTAATGAAACCGCATTCGCGCCCAAATATATTGCGTCGTCATGCAGCAGCCTATACATTGTGCGCCATGTCAGCGCACATTTGCATTTCAACATAAAGAGCAATTTTTGAAAACTTACAAAAATTATTTTCGTCCTCTCCGTATCATGCCCTACACGATGCACTCAGAAAGAAAAAATTTTCAAAATTTTTAGTTTTTTGATTTGAGTTCATCCCTCGTTCATGGCATGCTAGCGGCACCAATATGCTGCCATAAAAGAAACAAAATAAGTTTCAAGAAATTATATGAGCGAAAAAATACACTCAGACGCAGTGAAAAAAACTAAAGAAAATTTTTTGAGTGTGCTTGCCAAGCTGTCGTAAACTTGCCAGCTAATTGTACGTTTGCAGCATCAGTCACACTTGTGTGTACGCTTTGTCGTGTGTCCTACATATCGAGCAACTATGAAGATTTAAGAGGGCTTATCAAAGAAAGCAAGGCTGGAAAGTGTTCGTCTAGACTATGTTCAGGCATTGCTACACTACAGCGAACGTTATTGGTTCTTAGCTTAGTCACGGCTTGAAGAACGATTCTACCCCATCCGCTGCTCGAACGAGATCCGATTTCCGGGTGAGTAGTGCGCTCCATGTTTGACTACATCGCTAATCACAATGCAAACACACACAGAATCGCAATACGATGAGCAAAACATGCAAACCTTTTTGAGTGTATTCAGCATTGTTATTGTCAGTGAGATACTAGAGTTTTACAAAAAGTGACGTAATTAGAGTATGTACTTTTGCTGTTTCAACCACATCTTCTCCCGGAGAGAGAGTGACTTGCTGAATGCTTAAATCCATAGTAATGTCCTGAATCTTCATGAACTATTTCTACTTGACTGCCATTTTGCCCTCTTCACGGACAAACGCAGTACTTTGAAGATGCGAAGTATGCAGATAATGTAAATAAAAAGATGAAATGACGCCATCGTACTGGAAGAGATATGTCTACAAATTTTGACTTTCACTCAAGACTGACCACTAGCTGTCACTCTCCACTCTCTAGTCCAAGATATGCTAATGACGTATTCGTACAGCGAAAGAAGGTGGTTATTGGAAATCAACAGTCGTGGGAGATGATTTATATAGTAAGCGAAGCAGGTGGACAAGCGACAGATGCAGCGTTGTTCAAATTATGGTTTGAGAACGGAACAATTCACATCAAGGAAGACAAATTGTCATCGCACATCTCACTTCGAGGATCCTCTCTTCACCTCGCAATTTCTAGCAGGAACATTGCTAAATAACAGGATACAGTAGGCACTATATTTGGTTTTATCATCTTGAGAAAATGATTATTTTTTAAGAAACAGGTTTTTTATGCCTAGAACATGACTAGGATGACATGACTCCGAAAATCATGAGACAGTGCAGCTGAAAAAGGTGGAGTCATCCAAATGCGGAAAGATGAATTGGATAGAGATGAAGCCTGCGTTGGAACAAGAAGAGTTTGTGTGCTCACAGCACACACTCGATTCACACAGATGATACACACAAGGGTTGGTGCGTAACAGACTGCGATGGAAACAGTCAACAATACCAGCTTGCTGTGACTACGTAGATGTTGGGAACAGAGCTCGGCACAGGTGGCTTACTGGGCAAGCTGGATATCGTTTTGGAGGTAAAGCAAAGGGGATATCGTTTTTGCGGAAGAGCATACCGCTGTCTTTCGGTCTGCTGCCGGCAGCATGGTCTCTCAAACAAACAAATGGCTTGCTTACAGTGAAATGAAAATGAAATGACGCCAAAATGGGTTTGTAGATAGAGAATGGGGAGATAGTACTATGTGCAAAAAATTATGAAAAAGTTATGTGAACTAAAGCCGCGGCAAACTTTTTCCGGAGTTAGGTGGCTTCAGCCACCCGGACAGCCACCTGAGGTGGCTGTAAAAAGAAAAAGTCATAGATTTTTCTTCCTTCACATAATTTTTTTAATGCTTTGCATAACTTTGATCTACATCAAAAATCCCACAACTGAGTTTTTAAATCTCTCCAAATGCACTCCTCGTCGCCTAGTTATAGCCCTCCAAATATTTTGTATGGCGGTGGCAAGCCTGCTCCAAGCGCTCGATGGTGTGCGCCGGACACAGCATACCGTCAATCCGCACAAAACGAATATCTTTGGTTTTTCTGTTCCATGCTGCCTTTGTGTTATATTTCATTACTTTGTTATTCCTGTGTGATCCATTCATAAATCATGTCATAGGTGATTTCGTATATTGAGGCAAAGTCTGCGGCGGAGTTTGTTCCCGAAAAATTGAAAAAGCCACCTCATACTGAGCCCTGGTTGGGAAAAATAAATTTATGGCCTCGGACTGGCCTCTGCTGAGGAAAAATTGTTGGAAAAGGTGAAGGTTTGAAGCTGTTAGTAGTATTTGCGGCATCGCAATTTCAGCTGTTTTATCAGTTCCTTTCTTCCATCACAGCTCGTCGTTTTACCCCGTATTATAGAGGAAATTTGAAAAGGTTAGAAACTTTTCTCTTGAGTCGTGGTAGACACTACACTTGCAAATGAATTGGTTGTTTCCTGAACACTACAAAAACACATTAGCTTTGTAAAAACAGGGAAGGGGTGCTAAAAAGTGGGAAACTTTCCAGAACTTTTGTGGGTTTCAGAACATTTTACAACGCTTCTCTCCCAAAAAAATTTCTTGACCGCCATTTTTGCATAGTTGGGCAACCAATGAAATGTACTAAGATAAAATATTAGGTTGAACCGAAAGTTCGTTCGCACCATTTTCAAAAAATTATAACTTCTTTCCGTAACAACGATTTTGCGCAATTCAAATTTTGTCGAAAAGCACAAAGCATGTAGTTTCCAACTGTTCCCTGGCGACTTTCCAGCACGTTCAGATTGCAGAGATAAAAATGAAAGAACGAGAACATCCGAAATTCGGAATTTTTGAGAAACAATTCCTAAAATCTAGAAACTGCGCGATAAAATGCAGAGAAGCCATTATCCTAATTTTTCTTATATTTGATTACTAACCGAGTTAAGTTTGTGTTGATCGAGCTCTTCTTTCAAAAGTTATGATTTTTTGAAAAAATTCCGAAAAATCACTTTCCTAAGATTTCCTAAGAAATTGATTTTTCGGCATTTTTTTTCAAAAAATCATAACTTTTGAAAGAAGAGCTCGATCAGCACAAACTTAACTCAGTAAGTAATTAAATTTAAGAAAAATTAGGATAATGGCCTTTGTGGATTTTATAGCGCAGTTTCTAGATTTTTGGAATTGTTTCTCAAAAATTCCGAATTTCAAATGTTTTCGTTCTTTCATTTTTATCTCTGCAATCTGAACATGCTGGAAAGTCGCCAGGGTATTATTGGAAACTACACGCTCTACGCCTTCTAATAAAACTTAAAATGCGCAAGATCGACGTGACGGAAGGAAGTTATGATTTTTTGAAAATGGTGCGAAAGAACTTTCGGTTCAACCTAATATAATAAGCAGTGTGTACAAAAATGGATTTTTTTGAATGTGGTTTCAAAATTGCAGCTAACGCAGAGAAGCTGCATGATGCTAATGCAAAGGTGAATGAAGTATCTGTGTACTCAGCCGGCGTAAGCTGCAGATCCTAGTACAAATTTTGCATTGATTTTGTGAGCCCAGTGAAAGGATAAACGAAATTCCGCAGTTAGATCATACAATCAAAGAACTGGCTGGACAAGTCGCTAGAAATTATTACTGCTTTGCTAAAAGTCGACCGCTTTCGTAAAGAAAGCAGCAGATACTTTGCATGAAACTACGTTTAGCCTGTAATGTTCAGAACCGTTACGCCTCTGGATCAAAGGGTCAACTTCGATAAAATATATTGTAAGACGGTTGAGGCAAAAATACTTTACTGAAGCCTTTGACAACGCTTCACACTACCTCACAGAATGCATTTGTTTGTGATTGTACATTGTACATGGAATAGATTTTGCTAGCACCTAGGTTAGGTATGAATTTCACATTTTTGATAGTCAAATCTTTGAACTAGTGGCGATATAATCGCGAAAATTCTCAATGCTTTCTACAATATAAGCATATGCTAATGTAATTTTTACTTCTACAGACAACTTCTGGGGATAAATAGAATTTTGGTCGAGATAAATAGCTGGAATTATCAACCTTCAGCTTTTTGGCAATAGCACTGCGCTTGCTACTAATAGACAAATTGAAGTGCAAAAAAAGAGTACATAGCACAGTATGTGTACTTATGTATGTACTTTGGGCCAAGGTTTGCAAAGCTTTTTGTGGCATCTCTCACTTAATCATGCTTTCTTCGACTAGTAGCGGCTGCTTGAAACGTCACACTGAAGATCGCTGACATTAGAGAGATGTGTGAGCGGACTAACTAAAATTATAAATATAGGCCTGGCACTAATACATAAATAGTCAAATATTTATTTATACACTATACTATAATATACGCATATATCTCTGTACATAAATTTGCCTAATAATATCTACATTCACCACGTATTCAGAAGATCCAGACTTGCGAGGGCAATGTGAGCTTGCTTACCAAAGCAGACAACACTATTTACCGCAACTGATAGCCTACGGTTCTGAACAGGTCAGCAGGATTAGAAACGGCGCAAAAATCTCGATTTCAAGGATTTGATTTTGCAAGTCATCTTAAACTTGTCTAATAGCTTTTATGGGGTCACTCAGGGCGTGCATGGAGTGAGACAACCATTTGCATACGAGCCTGAAAACATTAGATTATGCTTTTACATTAAAAAGGAGAACTATAAGACGTACTCTTGATGTAACGCTGAGGTCACCCTCCACAAGGCAACAGCACAATATGCTTGTCGCTTAGTGCGTCCTTATATGGCTTTCCTGGATCCTTTGAGAAACATGTTGTAATGGAGGTATATGACTGTGAGGTAAGAACACAGCAATCTATAGTGCATCTGAAATTACAGATGATGGAGATTCAAACAACAGATGACAGAGATTCAAACAACTTGCTACAAACTTGCTACTTGACATACCTGCGTCGTGATACATCATCTCATACTGAACCCCGACCAGAGTCATGGTCCGCTATCGAAGAGTTTGGGGAGACGTGGTGGTAGAGCTGCGTCTGCGGTATCGTACATCCGGATCGCAGGCTATATGGGGCGGCGAATGGAGGAGAGCCGCGGAGTGACGACATCGAGTCAAGCGGCGATGTGGTTGTAGCCTCTGATTTCGACGATGATGAGAGCTTATAAGTGAGCGAACGAGTCTGTTCCCAGGGCATATCGTACCTGAAAGTATATGCATATCAGCTGACCTCTCAAAGTATTCGCGGACATCTATCATAACCGAAGTAAGGTGCGAGGTGATGCCTATACATCATCTACGCGACGGACGCACGCATATCTCGCCGTTGTGCGATGATATACTGGGCTATTACAAAAAATAGCGGACCAGTGTAAGTGCGATCACTATAGTAAGAAGGAGAGTAGGCAAAGTGGATTACCTATTATCGTCCTCGGCCGCTTTGCAAGTAGGAGGATATGATTGATATCGTGGTTTAATGGAAATATTTCTATGAGTCCTAAACAAAGGAAAATATTGAAAGGCGTTGAGAATAAGTTGACTGCCTCATAAACCTTTTTTGTCGAAGGAAAGCAACCAGTACACAAGCAAAGGCCAACGAAGCCAGCACGGCAATGCCTGCCAGTAGTAGAATGCATATATGTAGTAGCTTTTCATCTCCTTTCAACTGTGAGAGAATAGAAGTCGATTGGGCAGAAGTGTCTTCTGGGATCTGAAATCTCAACTTCAGAGCTATTGTTGATTACCGTAGGGGTGTGTGGCCTCACAGCAGGGAATTTTTTGCCTTATTTTGCACACTCGCTCAGGTCACAGTGACAACCCTTTAAGTCACCCATTAATTATGGTATGCAGAAAAAAGTCGGTCTTGTAGGTTCTAACATCATGCTTGATGAGATCTTGGGATTATGGACTTTTTAAAACGGTCATAAGAAAGCTCAAAGGAGCGACATTTGCTGATCAAATTGACCGAATAACCAGCCATTTCTTTATCAGGTGATAACTGTCTTTTTCGAGAAAAAAAATCACAGGTGATGAAGCCAAAAAAGATGATACGACAAAAATAGTGTTTACTAACCCTTTGTTCAATTATTGTTACATCGGAAGGATCCGGGCACCATGGACATCTTTCTGTATGTTTCTGCACAGCTATCGTGGCGTTGAAGCATTTGGCCCGAATCTCTATGAGCTTCTTGCCTAGCTCCTCTTCCGGCTCAGAGATGGTAGTCATGTCCTGATGACGCCGATTCCGGCTCTGCAACGATTGGGTCACCGTACTAAAATCCCAGTAATAAAAAAGTCCAGATTTTGCAATTGCAGCTGCCTCCCGTATGGGAGGAATAGGATCACGAATAATTAGCAGTAATTAGTGAAACAGGCGTCGAAACTCACAAATGTCTCAGCAACTTCTTCTTGGAAGACGCGAATCGTCGCCGTCTGGTCGCAAACTCGTGGAAAGCCGTAGGTCGGGTCAGTTCCGACCACCTGGCACGTAAGCATTAGATCCTCTCGCTTACCTTTTGTCCAGTGAGACACAAACGAGAGTGAGGCATCCTCAAATAAAATGCGTGTGAGATGTGCCACAAGAAAAAAAAACGCGAAAATACTACATATTTGACACTACATTCAAAAGACACTTTGTCATCAAAATCTTGAAAAGTAAAGCAGTTGATGGTTTTCTTACCTGTACAAAGTGTTCTGAGATAGGCCAACTGATAGAAATCTTTTCGGTGATTGGCAACATGTCTTCAAGCACCTGGAAGCATTTTTAGAATCAAATGGTAGTACTCAGACAAAGAAAACTGTATTCGATTTGAACCTTAAATCTGGGCTGAGAGCAACCTGCGGTAGTTAGGCAACCTTCCCTCCAATCCACCCGCAACAGCTCGGCTGTCATCCAGAACGATTCCACAGAAATGATAGGTAGAAGAATTAGCAATCCCAACATCTGTAATAGTATAACCTCTTTCATGGCCGTCTTTATACAAATTTATAATCGAGTAGGATAAATATCAGAAATTTCTATATGGCGACATGAGAAGGGGTGGAGCCGAGGTGGGGGGGGGGGGGGAGACGGTCTTTTCGCACGGGCGGTCTCCAGAGTCTCCCTGATTTTGACGTGTCTTAACAAATAGTGCACGCCGCAAACCTTTCCTCCCCCTGTTTTGCTTAGGCAAAAGCCGCCGCAGGGTGTGTCGCGCGCGGCGGTGGTCCTGTGTGGAAAGCATTACGGTCATGCGAATCGTCCTACACCCGAGGTGGGGCCTAGGCGCACCGCCTTTCAGAGCTCTCCCGCCCCTTTTCTTCAGCTATGGAGCCAAGCTACTACAAGAAGACGAACGCAGAGATTCACTACAGAAGTCGAAAGCAGATAGAAAATGATTGATTTATAACGTATAGTCTCCAACTGAATGAGTAGACTTCAGGAACTTAATTTTAAGCTACTCTCAGGAAGGTTAGGTTGCAGTGTCTGATTACGAGAGTCACCCTACAGATGTGCGAATAATCAAAAAAGTTTCAAGATGACCGCATCAAGGTTTTACGGCAATTTTCCAATTTCAGCCAAATGAGGCTCCGAAAATGCCAGAGAATTTTCCTTATCGCTAATCTCAATCTATCTAAACCGCGAGATATCATCTTGGCTCAAATCGATGTGCAACGCACGTCAAACACATGCTTCAAGTGCGAAATTAGATAACTTTGGAGGCATTTCCGTCGGGTGGAGTAGTGCGCGAATCTACAAAATAAGTGGAGGAAATAAAGGTGAGCATTCAGCAAAGACTCGTTTTATATGGAGCTCAGAGGCAGTCCTTGCAATTAGGACTTGGGGGCTGGCCCAGCAAGGTTGAGAAAGTAGCCATCTCCTAACTGCGAATCGTGGGAACGAACTCCCGATGGAGCGCGAATCCGTCCCTCCAGGGGATACTCCCAGTCTCACACCTGCCGAAAATAGGTGCAGTCACAGGGAACATGCTAGTTTATGATTGTCGAGAATTGAATAGAACAGAATGCTTTCGTGCAATAATGAGCTGATAAAGGAAGAGTTTTCATGAAATCTTGTTAGAGAACATTTACAAAGCTGTTGTAAAGTACTTCTTAAGCAGCTATTCTGACAAGGGATGGATACCAGGGTTGTGTCCATTTCTGATGAAATATATGATTATATATATATGCGTCCTGAAACACTATTTGCTCTCGAGCTAAAATTTTTTGGATGATATTTCTTGGATGATACTTTGAAAGTTTCAGTGGAAAATTTGATTTCTATAGATGAAATTTTGGACGTCGATTTTTCCCGTTCCGTGCCCCAGAACACTTACAGAAGTAACAAAGCAGTAAATTAAGCTGAAAGGAATTTAAATGCCTGAGGAAGAAAAGGAAAAGCGAGGAGAAAGTTTGAACTCAAAATTCTTGTCTGCTAGTTGCGCAAGACGTTGATGGCGAGCAATGCCGTTCTCATCGGTAAATGCGCGACCGATAAAGATCTACATGGTGCTCGACTAGGTTCAAGGAGCTTTTTCTGCAGTTCGCTGTGTCAATTTAGCTTTGATCAGATCACGTAGGCATGGTGGCGTTTTTCACAACCAAAAGTGAGCAGATTGCTTTGAAAATGCGAAAAACAGCCACTAGGGGAGGGGTAGAGAGTGGACATCAGAAAGAAAACCTTAAGATTGCTATCTGGAGAATTGAAACTCAATTGTGATGGCTGATGAAGAGAAAAAGGTCATTGAGTGGTTTCGGAAATACAAATTATAGAACGATCGACGATGGGTCTCGTTTTTTTTTTCGTCTCGTACAGGAAGTCTTGAATAGACGTTAGGGCCAACACAGTAACACGATTTTTTTCAGGAATACGATGATCAAAGCTGCAAATCAATCTCCTCTCCACTATTGGGGAAAATTCAAAAAGCTATGTTCTATGCAACGCAGGCTTGTCATAGCAGGAAATGCAAAAATTTTCGTCGATTGCCTAGTCCGTATCTATGCGTTTCTAATTATTTGGTTCACACAAACCGGTTCGCGAAAAGGTTTTTACTTGAACTATTATATAAATAATGATACAGTTTGCTATTATGCTGCGAAAATAGTGTGTTAGGGTTGGTGTGACTTCTCTATTTTTGCAATGGGCAAGCCTAGCTAACAATTTTTGCATTTCGAACTAATAAGGACTTCTAAGCGAAGGAATGGAAGTCCTTGATAGGACCTGCGTTAAACGTTAAGTCACAAAGTTCTTCTCGTTACACACTCCAAGTGCTCAAAACCACATCAAGCTCATGCCGACAGAGCAAGAATTGCCAGGGGCTCTTCACACCGGACGTAAGCCTCTATTCAGGATTGGTCAACGTTACTCAAACACCTTACGGATGTGTCGCTCAAGCGCTAACTCAGTGCGAATGATTACCGCTTTGATCTGAGGCCCATAAAACATTAGTGTGTAGCCGTTGGAATCATAATTCACGCTCACCACCAAGTGTGGACAGCGTAATTCCGGTGTCGGTCACCTTTGGCGTTGTAATTGATTAAGGTAAATGACCGAGTTTCAGGGACATGTTATATGTGCAAAGAAATTACCCGATCTGTACATAAATGGACAATGGAACTCACACCTCTGACCTGAGCTTTGTTCTGCATCCTCCACCCTCTTCAAGAGGTTTATTCGGTCAAGGGGTAACGCACTCCGGTTGAGGGAGTGGGCTTTGAAATGCGATACCGGGCGTGATATGCCTATAGCGGCTCAACGCATTCGAGCTAAAGCTGCGCAGTTATTCTTGGAGGTTTTTTGATTGTGAGGTAAATTAATTTTTAGTTGTGGTCAGAACAACCTACTGAATAATATTTTTTTATGCGAGTGTTCATACATATGTGGTCCGTGATCGTCAAAAAGAATAATTTGGGAAATTTTTGAATAGACACAAAATTCATCTAGACCTAGAAGGGAGCGCTACAAAGTAATAGCACCAGACATTTTTAGGCTTTTTAAGAACGAAGTCTCCTCTCCCGCCTGACTTTCGCCAAATTTTACGTCGAGTAAAAAACTAACCTAACTTGTGTTTCGGACCCACGAAAACGATATCCCCTTTGCTTTTCCGCCCCGAAAACGAAGTCAAGCCTGCTTACAAACGATCTGTGACGGGCTCTGAACGGCAGTTGCCTTCTCAAATATAAAGATTTTGAATTTAGGGAATGTTGGCATGCAGATTTTATTCTTATGCTTACAAACACGCTGGAAGCATTAATAAATTTACATGAAAGTAATTATAAGGCGGCTTCTAAAGATTTAATCAAATTGTGATTCAGAGGTCGATAAAGTTCATCTCAATCTCTGTACTTCTATAAAAAAACTTCATTGAGCAGAATTCCCGCTGCATATGTCAGTGGTCCCAGATAGTCGCTCAATAAACAGATTAACGAGCTTGCCGCAGGAAAACGATGGTGTGAAACACCTGCTTTGGGAACTCCTAAACTGGACAGCTCATGGGGATCTTTAACCCATATTAGCTCAGTGGGGCCACTTTAAATGTAAATAGACTTAGAGATTGCAGTGGTGCTAGATATTGTAGATTTAGACTATCAGATGAATACGTATATAACGAGATAACGTATTATTTAGAGAAAAGACTGACTGACATGTGAGCAAAGAAATCCACGAGAATTACTCTGCTGAACTCGCCAACACTCTCAGCAGTGAATGGTTTTGTGGTTCCGCGTAACTAAGAACAGTTGCTGTCGTAAAAGAGCATAAATACGTTTATAATCGCACATCAAAGCGCGCAAAGTCTCAGCTGTCTACCTTGATCTTTTCACTTTCCTACAAGTGCAAGGCACAGTCGATGGCAGGCGAACGCGTACCGTAATCAAGGTGAAGGGCACTTGAGGTGACGATGAAAAAGAGCTGGATATTTTGTCAGTGAGGAGGCAGCAGTAGAGAGGAGCACGAGAGCTAGTCATAGTGACGGCGGTACGCTCTGATGCGGGGGATAAGAGCCCGTAAGCTGCTTAGCAAACAACAGCATGATCGCTGCAGATTCACTTACTTTACTTACTGGTTACCTGTTGCTGAGTAAATGCTGTTAATCTAAGTATTGGAGCTGTTTCGAGTTGAACATTTTGCTGCCACCTAACATAGATGAGAAGGATACGACCAAGTAATAATAGCCTAACAACCACTGAACGAGAGAGATTTTGGGGAATGTGAACAAATGAGGTGTTATGAGCTTGAAGTCGAGTTTCACGCAAGTACTTGTGTCAGAATAATCAAATTATAGGGTGAGGAAGTACACGGAAGGAGTTTGGTTGAAAGGAAAATCTATTCTTTGAAAAAAAAAAGTTTACGAAAAGACTGTACGAATCTGAACTCCTAATTTCAAAGGTCTCTGTTCGTCCTATAAAAGACTTTTACAATCCAAAAATATGTTGGTAGCAAAAACAACCCTCAAAAAATATTTGAGTTCTAAAAAATTGCAGTTTCCAAGCATATGTGATTCTCAACCGAGTACATAGTTTTGTCAGTCAACGTGAAGTCATCCTCGATCAAAACGTCGAAACAAACTTGCCATAGCCATTAGAGTTGATGGGATGCTAAAGTTATGCAAATCTCTAAATATATTAGGACAGTTTTGGGACTGATCGCTCTGCGACCTGGATATCTTTGTTCTAAATACTGTTAAGTAAAACAAAGGTTGCAATGTTTGGATAACTTACATAAGACGGTTGGGTAGATGAAAAGAAGACCGACGAAGCTCACTCTATTGTAAATTGCGCAACGAATCGTTGCAAGCTGCGCCAGATGAAGTCAAAAGGAGCGCAAGCAAGCAGAAAATAAATATAGTATAAGCTATGAAAATAATGTCAGTTATTACTGCGGGAAGTTCATAAATTTACTATTTCTGAACGAAAGCAGTTAAAAAGACATTTCAGTAGAGTTTTGTATTCTTAGTGAAGGCGATC